GAAGCTTTTCCCACAAATCGGAAAACCTCTAAAATCAGATTTTCACACTTTTGTACTTGCTTGAAAGAAATGTTTATTTCTAGCATGCCAGAGGCTCATGTTTAAATACAAAAATGTAATCGGGAAAAGAATGAAGACAACATTTAATGTGTCATTTGGTTTTTGCTAGGCTGGTGTCTCCTTTTTGGTTCTTTGGATCATGACTCATGGCAGACCTAACTGAAGGGTCCGGGAATGAGATAAATGATGCCTGCAGGTCTGAGTAGAACTGAGAGGCCAGAGAAGCGTAGAAAAACAGACCCAATAGAAATGACTCCTCAATGGATAAGTGAGTATTTATGAATAGTAACTGCCCTTTTAGAATTAAGCTGGGAACACAGGCTTCCTAACTTTCCCTATCTTTTACTTACATTCTAAGCGTTTATTCCTTATTGATTCAACACAAATACCTCATGACTTTGTTAAGAAACTGGTAAGCGGTTACTCTGCTTATCCTGATAATACTAGATTATTCTTTTCAGATAATGAAAGTTTCAAAATGGAAAAATTCAAGAGAATTATTTTATCTCGATTTGGACGAGAACGCAAATCATGAACAATAATACTTTAAACCTTAATAAAAATGAAATAACAGGCAGTTCACTTCTAAAGGAGCCGCTCTGTCTACTTAGTAATCATTCTCCCAGTTGTAAACAAACTTTAAGAAATAGGAGATATTTATTCTATATATCTCTTTTCTAAAAACATTTGGTAAATATAATAGCACTGTTTTAAGTGAGTTCTTTATATTAATTCAATACATTTTTATTATGTTAGAAAAAAAGGAGTATGTGCCCCTTTAAGAACTTACAGGTATTTGTATAGAAAAACTCTGTCCTTCAAAAATCCCAGAGTGACTTTGGTGTTTTCAATCAATAAAAGTTTACCATTATTTGTTGTGATGTTCTTTGCAGCATTGTTTGTAATAGTGAAGGACTAGAAACAGTCTAAATATCCATCATTAGGAAAGCAGGTAAATATCTTTTCATACATCCATACAATGAAAAGTTATGCAACTTTTAAAATAAATGAGGTAGATCCAAATGAACTCATCTTGAAAAGCTTTGTAGGTTAAATGAAAAAGGCATGGTACACACACACAAACACACACACGCACATACACACACACGTAAAATATGCAACCAATGATGATCACCTCTAAAGAGGGCAACTGAGAAACATACTTTTCACTATATTTACCCATTCATGCTGCTTGAATTTTACCATGAGTGTTTTTTTAAATGTTTTTTTTTAAACTGAGGTATAATTGACATATAACATTATACTAGTTTTAAGTGTACAATGTAATGATTCAATATTTGTGTTGATCACCATAGTAAGTCCACTTAACATCTGAAGATTTTTCAAATTAATTAAAAACTAAAAAAATAGTAGGTAGAGACCTAAAATGGAACCTCAATATTTATATGGTCATCAGCTAATAGAGAAAAATACCATACAGTATATGTTTTTATTTTTTGAAGATTTATGTTTTCATGTTGATACATAATCTCATATATAGAAATTTTGGTAGATGACCACTATATCGTAAACAAATTTTCTAGAAATAACCACTGTTGACCAGGTAATGATCATAATAGTGCTGGCATCACCTACACAGGTACCATAAAAAACACAGCACTAAAACCTGGGGATGAGTGTCAGTTTTTTATCTCTAGGAACCAGAGTTGTAGGTTTGGGGTGAATCTGATACGTTTAGCCACATCCCTGACGCAGACTAACTTGATCTAATTGTAAAGCTGGTTTTTAGCACTAATGATTTTTAGTTTTTATGAATTCTTTTAAGAATGCTCTATCATCAACACTCATTGGCACAGAGCATAACACTGGGTGGAAAAAAAGAGATCAACAACTAAGTCAAATAGTGACTCAGAAAAGTCAGATGTGAAGTTTTAGGTATTATCTCAAGCAAGTATTTGACTATTTCTCTTTTTATGTATGCACAAGTGATTAAAATCAATGTCTAATAAAGTCTAAAGAAGTCCTTCAATAAGACATAAAAGAAAAATTCTGAGTAATGTGAAAGCATTGAGTGTTTAATAGAAAGGTTTTTTTTTTTTTTAGTGGAACATAAAGATAATGGTGTTACAAATAATGGCACATTCTAATTACATATTTTTAAATTGTTTTTAATAATATATTTTCTGAGTTCCTTGAATGTGAAAAAAATGGGAAACCATATCTTTCAGGGAGAAGGAACTTACTCTGGTTAATTCTTCCACTACAAATTATCTTTAAACTTCTCTCAATAATCTATACATTTTAGATTTCTGAAGTTACGTGAAGATTATACTTAAAGAGAGAACTGGGCAAAACGAATTTTTTAAACTGTTTCATTTACAAATCAAAAAAATTTTTTTCTTAGGAATGTCAAACAAATATTATCAACAGAGACTATATCACTCATACCTCAACATAAGGCAAAATTTTCTTCCAAAGTATCCTTTAGAAAGGCTCGCCTTATAGATAAGATAGCACAATGTGATTCATAATACCGCCAGCACTATCAGTAATTTAACAGAATGCTGTTTGTGGAAACATATTTTTAGCCTCAGACAACCATCAGCAATGCTAATACCAGGTGCTGATAGAACAGACTGTAAAGAAGGAGGCAAATTAACAGATTTGCTAATGTTCCCAGAGATCAAAAAGCTACAATTTCAAGTGTTGGGTGTCCTTTAAAAATCACTGAGAGCAATACTGTAAATAATGTTGTGGCAATCACTGGATGGGTTGGTTTTGAATGCCCTGGTGTTATGCACAGGGGTACTTGTGGTTTGGGATAAAATTTCCACTGACAGCATCATACATGGATTTAAAAAGAATACTGCATCTCGAACAAATTGAAAGAAAAGACCGTTTGCTCTTGATCTGGTAGACTGCAAAAATCAATGTCAAAAGGGAGTAACGGGATTAACAAGTACATATTGGTAGTTACAAAATAGTCATAGGGATGTAAAGTACAGTGTAGCGAATACAGTCAATAGTATTTTAATAACTATGTATGGTGTTAGGCGGGGATAATTGGAGGATCGCTTCATAAAATTATATAAACGTCTAACCACTATGCTGTATATGTGAAACTAATATATATGTATATATAACAGCTAATATGTTTGGTGGCAAGAATTTCACGTGATTCCTTTCTAAAACTTGTCAATTTTGTCTTAACACTACTTTTAGTTTAAAAAAAAAAAGGTTGTGACTATCTGATACTACATTGTATAAGCGTGAGGGGAATATAGATATACACTATATTGTTAAAATCAGTTATCGACTGGGTTTAGAGAAGACAACTTTTTTCTCATTACATAACTATTGTTTAAATTCTTAATAGAAACATTTTTAATGAACAAATTTTAAATTTTTTAAAACACTCATGCCCTTACCATAAAATACAATAACAAATCATCAATCTGGCCAAAGTGAGTTTAAAAAGTACTATTAGAATCCACTCCCTTCTACAGGAAGTGTCCAAAGCAGTGCAATAATATTTGTTGCTCAGGGCCTATTTCTCAATTTTAAACAATATATCTTGCTGACGGCCATCAGGCTGTGCTGTTTGCAGAATGACACAAAGGCACATGGTGGCAATGTCACACAGAAAACACATTAGCAGAACAAATAACCACATTGGTGGTCTGTGGAAATCTTCAAGATAAAAAATATCAGAGCAAGGTCAACCTTTGTATTCTTTCTTTTCTTATTTAAAATCAGAAATATATTTTTGTGGTTAAACTCACACTTTCCTCTTCTCATATCATTTCTAAATTAACCCTTTCCCCTAACAGAAAGGAAAACTTTTTTATAGTAAAACATCGAGTCATCTCCTGGGATCTTAAGATGTACACCAGATAAGAAATTATTTAGATAGAAAGGATGACTCTAATTTTAGTCTTAATTAGAATGCAAAGATGTCAGTGAGTAAGAATTATCCATATAATTCACAACATTCACTGTTCTTTTACACATATTTGAGCTTCTCCTGGAGGTCCATTTATAGATTTATAGAATCTAGAGCCATTCTACAACAAATGCCTCCAAAGGGCTGAAATTACAAGGTTACCCCAAAAATATGGTGAAAACACTAGAAGAATAGGGTCTAAGGGGAAGGGTCACTCAAGTCAGTTGCTTCTTCCCTTCTCATGGAAGGAAAAAATTAATTTATTCCTTTAACATAATTGAGAATAAATTAAGAGAGCTTAAGAACTGCTTTTCAAACTGTGAACAAGAAATAAATGAGCCTCGAAACCCAATTATCTTTACAAATATTCATAACAGCATTATTCATAACTAAAAATTGCAAACAATCCTCAACAGATGAACAAAGAAAATGTGGTATGTCCACATAGTGTAATACTATTTAGCGATGAAATGAAGTACAATAAAAATAAATGGAATACTAATACATGCTACAACATGAACCTTGCAAACATTATTCTAAGTGAAAGAAGCCACTCACAAAAGACTATATATAGTATGATTCCATTTATGTGAAATGTCTAGAATAGGCAAATCCATAGCCACAGAAAGTAAACTGATGGTTGCCTAGGGTGGGGAGAGCTAATATGCAGTTCTTTGTGGGATGGTGGCATGGTCTAAAATCAGATTATAGTGATGGTTGCCCAACTCCATGAATATATTGAAAAATCTGTATACCAATTTTTACGGTATATAAAATATATCTCAATAAAGTTGTAAAAAAAAAAGAACTCATTACTAGCTATTTGGTTTTAGAAGATAAAATGTAGAAATGTAAGCTTAATTATATTAAGAAAAAAACCATATCGATATAACTATTAAATAATTCAATTATCTAGAAGTTCTCCAGTTACAAGTTAGATTTTAAATCCAATTATGCCTCCAAAAAAATTTATATTTCTACGTAGCAGTTAAAATTTCAAATACATAATGGTGTCATTAAACACATTATAAATGCCTTTTAATCTTTGACAGATGTTTACTAATAGACCCATGATTCATCTGTACAGTTTCACCTTCTAGTGATTTCACATGTAGCACATCCTGAGGTATCTGGACAAAAGTAGATCTGTATATATTTATACATTAATGGCTTCAAAGTGTTTAGAGTAACTCTTCTGAGGTCTCAGTCTGCACTAAAAAGGCTATAACAAGCAAGTTCTCTTTAGAAAACAGTGTTTGGAACTGGTCTAACACAGTGGGTGGGAGCTGGAATAGGACGACCGGTGACATTTTGAGAGTCCCATCCCCATTTATTGAGTCAACCTGAAGGGTGAAGCCCAGAAACCTGTGGATTTAGACAAGGTTTTCTGGGAGACTGACATGGCTGGGTTAGGGACTTACGCTCCTGCTAATTAGCACTTAGCTCACTAACAAGAAGGCAATCAAAAAAGAGAGGTGCTACCCTTCACTGGTCACATCTTCTTTAATAGTCTTAATTTCCTACAGACATACTTTCTTACAGAAAAATAAACAAGAAGTGATCATTTTTGAAGAAGGGCTAAAATCTCTTGAGCATTTTGAACATGGGCTTAATAAACACATCAAATATATTTTATGTTCTGATGAGATAATAAATGCTTTTTAATTTGGAGATCATCTGGTAGTCTGTAAAATGTTATCTTTGGTCTCTAGTCAAGAGAATAATAGAGTCTTAAGAATGATATTTAAATTAAATTTAATTAAAATGAAGGTCACACACTTCCACTTTCCCAGAAATGGTCTCTTCATTTTAATTAAGGAAATGAAAACTATGAGGACTTAAGTGTTCGTTCTGTGATATGTATGTTTGGACAAGTTTAGGCAAAGAGCAAAACTTTAGAAGTCCTGTCGCCAAACCGACAGCATTTTGAAAATGCTAAAGCTAATTCGATTTTCCATCTTCAACATGACCTGCCAAAATTTAGTCCAATCAGGTCTTCGACTCCAATACTCTAGGTTCTTCGAGGTCTATAACCTAAGGGTCTGGGATGCACGAGCTCTTCTTTTTGATTCCTTCGGTTAGCTTGGGCAACTCTGGTATCAAAACGATGGAAGTTCAACATTGTCCTCACCAACTCTGGAAGATCAAAATCATGTTTCCATCCCTAGTCCTTCCGAGCATTGCTGTCATCAAAGTTCATTGGCCAACTGTCTGCTAGGAAAAGATACGAAGAGTAGCTTAAGTTTTCCAGGCTCTGGAGTTGCAAAAAGGTCTCCAACATTTTATATAAAGGTCTATCATATGAGGTACCACAAGAGGAATTCCTGCTTTCAAATGATCCCTTTGAGCAGACCAGAGCAGTTGCTATGCACATATATAGTCTCCTTATTAGATCAGAAGATTGTACTGCATATCTGCTGTCGGGCATCTTGAGTTGTCACATAGTATTAAAATCGCAAGCAAACTCATAAGGTAGGAATTTTATATTCATGTGATGCTCAGGCCACAGAGTGGCACAGTCACAGCATTTAAAAAAAACCAGGGCTGTTTTCATATTATGTCCACTTGTTTTATGTTTAAACTGTAAAATGCCGACAAGCTATTTATTTGGAATGAAACTATCCCACCCACATTAGATAGCACTTCCCAAACTTGCAGCATCTGTGGACTTTGGCTCAACAGATCCTTCTCCAGAATGTGTCAAGACCACTGAGAAGGCGTCATGCTCTCCTTATACCCCACGGTTTATGTCGAGGGACTCGCAGCACAGATTGAAGCCTTATTTGGGTTTTGAGGGGTTCGCAATGATGTACCGACCTATGGCCTGCCGCACAGAATCCACGTTGTAGGTGATCTGGAATTCCGGTACGTGCCTGAGAACCTCCTGGGCCAGTTCCTCGGGGGAGAAGCTCATGGCATTGACGTTGTAGGTCCTCATGGAGAGGGATGCCACCGGGGCCTCCATGACTTCCAGGGTGGCTCTGAGGCAGTCATCGAGCTACATTATAGGGAGCCTCGTGCTAGGTTTCAGGTTGCACTCGAACTTGCCATTCTTTACAGCATCGTGGAAAATCTGCACTGCATAGTCTGAAAGAGAATCCTGTCTGTGGGTCTTCTTAGAACAAAATTGTGAACAAACCTTATAGATTAAGGTAGTGGTTCTCAAACATCTTAGTCTCAAAACATCTTTATGCTCTTAAAAAAAAACAATGAGGACTCCCCCCCAAAGAGGTTCTACTAATGTGAATTATATCGATATTTACTATATCAGAAATTAACTGAGAATTTTAAAAAATATTATATTTTAAAATTCAATAATAAACTATTTATCATATGCATGATATTTTTTATGAAAAAGAACATGTTTTCCAAACAAAAGATTTAGTGAGAAGAATGGCGTGTTTTATGGTTTGAAAATCTCTTTACTGTTTTAATAAGAGATTAATTAGAGTTCCCTGCCTGCTTCTATATTGTTTGCTGTGCTATCGCACATCACATAGCCTCTGAAAAACTCCACAGTACACTTGAAAAGAGAGCGAAAAGGCAAATATGTCTTAGTATTGATATGAAAATAGTTTTGACCTCTTGGGTCCCTTGAAAGGGTCTCAAGGATCCCCAGGGATTCCCCATTCATATTTGGAACAGCACCATATTAAGGCAAAAGCTTTTTAAAAGTAATCAAAACCTCCTTTAAAATCCCTCAGATTTTGTCAAGTATGTTTTATATTATTGCATCTCAGGGCCACTCATATGGAAACGATTTCTAATGTAAAAGTCACTGAATATAATGCATGCTTGAGTCCAAACTAATAATAATAATAATAATAATAATAATAATAATGCTTATGTTCCTTTTAAATATGCAACATATAGAGTCCATTTTAAAAGACCTTTCTGTATTAATAAGTAAAGGTTGTATTCAAAGAGACTATTTCTTATTTGCTGTCTTCCTACATTATGGGTAACAAATTTGTTCTTCATTCTTATCTGTTTGCTTCCAGCACTGTGGGTGGCTGATCCCAAGATGGATTTACAGCGCCAGCAAAAGCTGCCCTTAGCGAGTGTAAGTCAATAGGATTCAAGGGGCTTTCTTAGATGCTTGTCCTGGAGAGGATGCAGAAACTCCAGTCGGCATACAGCTAAAGGCATAGAGCTAAAAGCGGCAGATCCATCACCACCCTTCCCTGTTTTGCATACAAGAAAGTCTATCTTACATACAAAAGAGACAGGAAACAACACGTACCAGTTGTTCCTCCACCAGGTTGGGACAAAAAAAAAAGGGAAAATCACTTTTAAAAAGAATCTTTTAAATCGGATAGAGCTATACAAAGAAATAACACCTTTTTCTGAAATAACCATCCCATGCAGTTATATTAAAATTCTCTTAAAGGAAAAGAAGACTCTGGAATTTCTAAGAGTCGCTCATCATTTTTCTTTAATAACCGTTCCACTTTTAATCTTCAAGGAACCATGGTTCTTGGAATATATCAACGTGGTAAATAATAAATCCGCCTACAGTATGGATTTCCAACCTTTCCTTGGAAGGGAGTCCCTGCTCATTGTCCTACATGATTCTCCAGCAGCAGGTCCCTACAATGCAGCATTGGAAAGAATACAGGGAAGAACAGTGGGTGACATGAGCACAACGACCGTGATATACCAGCTGAAGGATCAGACACCAACTCAATTTGTTATAGAATTATAAAGATGAAGAGTATCAAAAAAAAAAAAAACCAAAAGGACATTTGAAGTTTTTCATAATACAAAGTTTTAAAATGACCACTAATAACTAATGATATTGAGAGATTGAAAGAATAGTGCATTATAAAGAAAACGGGCAGCAAATGCCATTTGAGGGGCCTCTAGAAGTGTTGAGTGTCACCATGTGGCTGACGAGCTCTTCTATAGCTATCGTACCTGCCTCTTGGCACACACAATCAATTTATGAGCATTTCTGGGGGCTAGAACTGGGGGAGCAGGAAAGTCGCCTCCAAAGATGAATCGGCAGGTGTCTGAGGCAAAAGGAATAGAAAAGGAAACCCTGAGCCATCTCGCTCAGCAATGCGTACTTCTCCCACGAGCTCCGCGTGCACCTTGGACGCCCCATAGATCATCCTGGGTCTCTGAGTGCAGAGGTCGGGGGTTGGGTTCCGGGGAGAAGTGGGTCCAAAAGCTCCGATTGTGCTGGGCACAAATAACCACAAATTGTGTTCTGAGGCAACGTCCAGAACATTATGCAATCCTGAAACCAACAGACAGTATCACGATCTGAAAAGCCTCTGACTGAAGAACTGGAAAAACTGGTAAACAGGTCATTTTGGGCAAGATTCTGAGGCTTACCAGTGATATTTATGGCTCTCGCCAAGGACACGTGTGCTTCTCCAACCACACTGAGCAAAGCGCTATAACGAAATAACCAGGTGATGCGGTGGTTTACCACAATCTCGTGAAGATTCTTGTAATCCAGAATGTCGAAATAAATAAATGGGCCTATGAGGAACATGGTGAAACCACAGAAGTGAAAACGTTTGGGGTCTGAAGAGCTAGGTGGACCTTTCCCTGTCCCTTGCTGACTTGTGGATTCCATCAGTACCAACAGGGTAACCGAACTGCTCGGACGCCATGTGGAATTTTTCTTATTGAAGATTCGCCAACCCCAACCACCCCAAAGTTGATAATAGCTGACACTTATATAGGATTTAGATTTACAGGCATTGTTCTAAGGGTTCTCTCTGTATATTTAGCTCTCACACGGCCTTTAAGGAAACTGAGGCACAGAAAGGTGAAGAACTTGCCAGAACCAAGAAATGTGGCCGCAACCAGGCAACTGGCTCTAGTCGGTGTTGTTACCAACCCCACACACAAAGCGATTTCACTTGCTTAAAATCTGCATATTTTAAAATGAATTAAAAAATGGGGTAAAGAAAACCACCAAAACTGTGGTTTTGAAGAACCGCAAATCATGAGTTCATCACACCTGGTTAGGCTAGAGGTCGAGCCAATTGCGTTCTATGTCAATTTTCCCCACTGACAGCAAATTACCACTCTTCCTCACCATAAGCTGCAAGAAGATGACACTGAACCAGGCAGGACGGGAAGACCTTACGAAAACGATTCTGAGCTAGCAGAAAATTTGACTAGAGGAGTGTGAGATTTTGTGTGTGTGTGTGTGTGTGTGCACAGCAGTTTAAGTGCAAGTCTATGACGAAATATGAAGACTGATTTCTCCAAATCTTTAAAGTTCCTTTTCCTTATCACAGAACTTGATTATGCTTGTTTGCTTTTGAGCCAAGAAGTTAACTAAAAACTCAGAAAGACAAGAATGAACGTTTTTATTCCAAAGATACTACTCCAAATGATATCCAAAGATATCGTGCCAAGATTTTACTCCTTGTTCGGAAGAACTCTCCTGCTCTCATGACACCTGAACAAGCAGCAGAGTTAAATATAGACATATTTCATATTTCAGAACTACTGAGGACGAAGATATGAAATTTTTTTAAGTGACACAATAGTGCCTTAATAACTTCTCTTTCTTTAATTCACAAGCCTGGTTATAAGCTGTTGCACACACCAATTCCATGACCTGCCCTTCCAACTGCGCTTTGAAAATTAAAGATAAAAACAAAAGCAAAGCATAATGATCTCTTATCACTATGGAAGATGTGATCAGAGGGTTTCCTTATGTCAGACAAAATCACATTGTCCTTCATCGTTTCCTAAAAGGAAAACCAATATACATGAGTTGAGACATCGAGGATATAATCAGTCCTATGAAAAAAACCTTTCAAAGGAACCGTAATTTCCTCTCAGTCTCCAAATCCCTCCTTTTATGCCTTTCCTCCCCCTTGTTCCCAAACACACGCACCTTCGGTTCTATCCACTCAGGCTTCCCTCTCCTTACTCATGGCCTCATATTCTGTTTCTATCCTCACACCGTTATCGTCCCTATATTTGCCACCAATGACTTCCTTGTACCCCTAAGTTTTCAACTCTCCCTCCTCATTCTTCTCTCCTGTCTTCTTACCCTTTCATCCCACTCTCTCCAAATCCCACACTGTCCCTTGTTGGTGTCTATATGCACTTCCCTCTGCCCCCAGCACATCTGAAAATCAAGCGATTCATGTGGGGTTCTGCGTCTTACTCTGCCTTAATTAGAAAAGAGAGGGGGTGACACCCTGAGTCAAGGACCTGCAATGACATCTTATTAGGAGGATAAACAAAATGTGTTCTGAAGTCGTTTAGATATGATATCTTAAAAATAGGAAGGGGCAAGAGGAGAGAGAAAAGATAACATGGTTAAATGATGCTAAAGACAAGCTTACCATACTATAGAACTCAGATGTTAAATTTCAACTCTTAGGCCTCTTACCTCAAAAAGTTAGCAAGCCCCACTCCAGGCTGGCCAAGACTCCCTAGATGAAGTGAAAAAAAAGTAAAAATTTAGTCCAAATCTAACCAATGCAATTGTTCCCAGATGTAATGAAATAAGACTATATTTATAATCTTAGCTAATTAGGTAAACCCCGGGTTGGCCTGATAGAACTGAATCACCTCCAAGCTAGGACAGAAATCAATACAGATAATATTAGTTTCAGAGACAAAGCTCTCTCCAGCACAGAGTGGCTGACGGGGAGCAAGGGTACGGAAGCAGCACAATCACAAGAAAACTGGACAACCTCCTAGCTCCCTGAGCTAGGAATTCACTCCCAGCTTTGCCTTCAGTGTTTGATGAGCTCTGAAGCCTGTCTCCTACAGGTAACAAAATACTCAAAGTCGAACGTAATTGTTTGTATCAATCTCTGATGGGATTTTCCAGAACCCCATCCTCCATTAGAACAGGAATGGGATGTATGTAAAAGGAGAAAGACATGGGACAAACCAAGGGATCGTTTGAAAAGAAGGGCAGATAACTGAAATGATAAAGAGGCATTAAAATAAACA